TGCGGAGCTGCACCTCTACTGAAGTTTGCATCAGCTCATTGCAAATTCGCACTCATGGGTATTCTGGCACACGACACATCTTGCAAGAGGCCAGATGCGCAGCGTTCCGAGGAGGCTCTGGATAGGAGCCTGGCCTGGCTTAGATCCATTCAGGATGGCGAAGGTGAGCTACGTTCCAGCTTAGGACTCACATGTCCGAGAACCCTTTCGAGTGGACGCGAGGAGCTCAGACCATTGCCTTGCCGATTTCTCTCGCATCTTGCAGCCTGCGCGAGGCCCTTTGTAGCAGATGATCACGGCTGCGTGTGGCTGGGCCACGCCTGGGTACCGCCAAGTTTCCAAGGTGTGGAGCATTCCATTCCCTGGTGACTCTTAGCAGCAAGCCGTGGTCTCGCGTTGTCTCTGTGATGTGTTTGCTGCTGAGGCGACTATTTCATGGCCCCTGTCTGGGACCGCTTGGTGTCGGATGTGCAGCCTTTTTGGGTCCTGGACACACCAGAACCATCGATGCCAGCGTGCGCTGACCTCGGAAGGATCGGTGCAAGTGTACCAATGGCACACATTTCCAGAGTTGTTCGCAATTCCAAGTTCATTAGCACGTCGGACGAACGTGTGCTGAGGGACGAACGTTCATTTCGGTAAGAAGCACACATGCAGACGCGAGAGTCCCGGACTGTGGCAAACATGCAACTGGAGCCTCCCGGCTTCTAGCAGTTCTATACTGTAGGTGAGTGTTTTCCAGCTTCGAGTGTCGGTTCGTTCATTCGGCAATAACGTTTTTCTCCTGCAGAGAACATCTCAGGTGACAAGTTCATGTCAAGTCTACTGCCAGCCATTCGCGCACGGGTTGACTCCCGCAACCAGTTGCGGCAACCTTGGCTGCACCGTGGCATCTCCCGTGCCGCCTGGTACAAAGGCTTCCGCTCCTATTCGAAGAAGAGCATCCTTCGCACATGCACCCAGAAGCATCCGAAGTGTACCAAGATGAGCGTCTTGCACCCCAGGGATGATGCGCCGGGATTCCGGCAGCACGTCAGGCGCCACTTTGAGAACTGTTGTCTGATCGACAGCTGCAGAGCGCTGGGGGTGAAGCTGCAGTACCACTCCGATGGGCCTTTCAGTATCAAACAAGGGAACCAGTGGCTGCAGCAGTACGAGTGCCTCGGACAAGACACATGCTGGCGCATGGTTTAAGCCGTTGGTGCGTACTGCTAGCCTCCTAGCCTTAGCCGCATATCTATTGTTGAGTCCTGGGTTCGAATTCGCTTTGGGCTTTGCGGGTAGGGCCTGATCAGGAAATCCATTCGGCTCTCAAGCTGGAGCAATTTCGTGCAATTGCAGGGTGACTACATTCTCGCTTTCGCCGGGCACTTCGTCGCCGGTCGGCACACAGATGACGGTCTCTTCGTAAATCAGACTCATCGCACTCACAAGTGGGAGCCGGCAGGGGTGAGCCAGGGTGCAATGGGGCGATGTCTCTCCCGTGACGCCAGCGCCGGCAAAGTGTTCATCGACCCATCAAGTCTGGATTATGTTTTCGAGGTCGTGGATGTTCATGGGCGTGGTGACGCATCTTTGCCAGGCTGCTCCGGGGGCAGCATGCCTGAGGATGCAAAACTGCACTGGCTGCGCATCACGCAAAATCGCGCTCAGGCTCTGGGGAAGAAGCGGAAGCATGAGGAGCTGTCGTTCGATGATGTGTGGGAGATGTCTATGTCCCCGGTGTGCTGCCCTACCTACGGCGCCGCCCACACATCTAGAATCCGACTGCCGTTGCGTTGCCTGCACCAGGTACATTTGCCTCATCTTGCCCAGGCGCCCTCCGACTTCCTTCGAGAGGCTCTTCCCCTGACCTCGTGCTCCTTGCTGGAGATAACGAACAAGCACTCCCGCGACAAAGATATACGCTTCGAGCCGCAGACACATACTTACTATGTGAAGGAGCTACGTGTCTCATGTTCCGTGACAGGGTTGGTGCACATGTTTGCCAACGAATTTGACCCCGACACATGCATCGCAAGAATGCAGCAGGGCCGGCGTTGGCCGAGACCCGAGTATTCCCACCAGAGTTCTGGTACCCTCATCCCTTTCACAGCAGCCGAGATCAAAGCCAAGTGGCGCGCGAATGCTGCGGAAGCATCGGCCAGGGGTACCTGGCTTCACCATCAGGTGGAGGTCCTTCTCAATGGAGGCTCAGTTGAGGGAAAGCCCCCTGAGTTGGATTTGTTCGCAGCTTTCCTGAAGACTTGTCCAAAGCTCATGGCATTCCGTACGGAATGGTGCATATATTCTGATGACGATGATGTTGCAGGCTGCATCGATTTTGTTTGCCTGAACAAAGACGGCAAAGCTGTACTGTTCGATTGGAAACGGACAAGAGACCTCTGCAATAAGTTTCAGAACTCATGGTCCCGCATGAAGATGCCACTGGGCCACCTTGATGATTGCGCTGGTCAACATTATTCTCTCCAGCTTAACTTGTACAAGCACATCTTGCAAAGGTACTACCAGCTCGAAGTGCAAGACATGTTCGTTGTGGGCTTGCATCCGGACCTCGGCACAAGTCCATTTGTGTACAAGGCGCCCGACATGTTCGCCGAAGTCCAGATGATGCTAGCCTCACACAGGGAACGCTTGCGCAAGGAGGCTGAAGATATGCGATGGGAGGATATGCAGGGTGCAGCGGACAAGCCGTCATCATGTACTGCTAAGGTGCTTCAGCAGGGAAACCAGAACGTGGCCGAGTATCAAGGTGGGAAGTCAGCCGAAACATGCGCAGCGGATCTTTTGGATATGTGGGAAGAGATACAGTTTGAGGACCCAGACGCACTTGCCCATCCACAGCCTGCGCGATCGATGCTGCCAAATCTGGAAGAAACGTCGCAGGATGCGAGTGCGGATGAGCCGCTCATGCCTTGTGAGCCGCTTGTCGTCGAGGAGACCCGGCACGATTGGGAACTATCTTGGCCAACTCAGGCACCCTGGGAATGGGAGAGCAGTGACGAGTCTGAGGACGGTTTCTGGGACCCTCGACCAGATTGGCTTGAACGTGCTGAGCGAAGGTTGGCAGCACAAAGACTTTGCTACACAGTGGGGAGGCTTCCGCAGGAACTGGTGGACACTAGTTACACTCTGCCAACTCATCCTTCGTGCGCAAGTGAGCATTACAGCGGTGGGTCTTTGTCTTTGCCAGATGAAGTTATTCGGGCACTTCCGCAATTCTACTTTTCTTTGAACTTTCTGAAGGCCCTGGGTTTGTGTTCGACCACCATGTTGCATCGAGTCCGCCAGGCAGAGTTATGGTCGAATCTTGATATGGACATGGAGGTGCCAGAGTACATGTACGATGTGCCTGTGATCAGAGCAGCAGCATCGTTGGGCAGAGCGGCGCGCAGCATCATCTTCGACCAGCCACAGCTTGCTTGTCTTCTCGATATGCCCCCTACCGCAATGGTTCGATGGCAGGCGATCAACCTGCACTTTCGCAGTCAGCGGGCATGTGGCTTCACGTCGTCACATCCGCTTCTGGGGACCGCTAAGCTTCAGCTGAAAGTGTCTTCAGCCGTACGTACAATCGTCCTCGGTGTCAAATCAGCTGTTGGAAACCGTACTTCGACGTTCTGCAAAATTTATGAAGCCTTCACTGGGCGCATGTGCTTTACCTTCGGAATGTCCGGCCAGTTTTCAGCAGACCCGCGTCCATTTCCAGCAGGCCTGCTGTTTCCGGATGCTCCGAACGATGTTATGCTTGTGTGGCATCAGCGCTATTTCGGAGTTCAGGTCAACGGGCGAAGGCTATGCACAGCCCGATTACGAGAGGGAGTGCCGGATGCGCCGGGTCCGCAGGCGCATGCCTTCGTTTGGACCGTCAATCCGAGACGGATGCCTGGCAGTCCCGAGCTGGAGGTATCGCCGCTCCCAAGTCCTGTGTGTCGGACAGGCGTCCTGTTCTGCCAGGTGTGCGGCGAAGACCGTCCTCTTCATCGCCCGCTTTGGCGTGTCTGTCCGTCCTGCCTCACATGGGTTTGCGCCCAGCATGTCGGACACACACCCTGGCAGCAGTGCCCAGGCTGCCCGTTGCGCTTTGAAGATTACATTGGTGGTTCCAATGCAGGATCGAGTGAGATTGTTGCTGCTGATGACCAGAAGTATGCCCGCTGCGTGTTCGAGCTTCTCAGCAGGCACGCCGATTTACTCGCACGCCAGCCGGCGTTGAAGCAAATTGTTCCTGTGCCAGGGGAACGAATGAGCATGAGCAAGAGGAGATGGGAGACATGCATGTACCAAGCTCGCACCATCTTGGATTTTCTTCAGCAGGAGAAGTACTACCACCTGTTCCTGTTCCTGCATGCCCGAGCTCGGCAGATTTCTTGCCTTTCCGATTCTCCTTTCTTAGTCAGCCTTGCACATCCATGCGGCCCAGATGTTGATGCTGATGAGTGGCGCCAGGAAGTCGCCGATGCCGTCGTGGAATTGCAGAGCAGGTTTCGCAACCAGGCCCGTCGTAGTTGGGAGGAGGTCGAAGGCGGCGCCGAAGAGACGACTGGATCCCGTGCAATTTCTCAAACATCTTTGGACGAACGGATCCAGCAGGAGCTGGACGAGTCAGTCGCTCTTGCCCTTGCTGACAATACACAAGCTTCGGAAGGACGAGTGGCAAGTAGCCAGTTGCACTCCGAACCGGCCCCAGCAGTGAAGCCAGAGGCAGCTGACCAGCAAGAACTGCAGGATCTGCAGAGTCTCACAAAACGCAGAAGACTCACACCAGCCGCCATGAAAACCAGCGGTGCCTTCGACAACCTGTTCGAGGAGTTGTCTGCAGCCACGGCCGGTGCATTGCCACAAATACCTCCCCATCAGCCTGCGCCGAGACAAAGGACGGTTCTCCAGCACACAACTCATCTGCTTGAGTTCGTGAAACAGCGGCAGCCCAGCTGGTCGGACACGCTGGTGCGTGCAGCCGCAGCAGGCTTAACAGTGTACCGGACACGGTATCAGGATCTCTTTGTGCGGGATTACGTGGCACTCCTCTGGATCATGGAGGGCGAGCGCTACTTGCGTTCTCACAATGGCACCTGTTATCTCTACCATGAGCATGGTGCTTTCGAAGCATTCAGAGGAATACCTCCTGAGTCAACGTTTGCCCGTGTGAAGCCGTTCCTGCTGACTTTGGAGGGGATGTTTCGCACCCTGAGCCCGAGCACTGGGCGTTCCGACGATGCCGTTTTAAACGGCATCGCCCAGACTTTGCAGCAGCACAACCATGAGCCCGAATACTTCGAGGCATGCCGAGATGCGGCGTTGTACCCACCGGAGCGACCGGGAAGAGCTGCAGCAACCAGATCAAGGCAACAGGAGGACGAAGCTCCCAACCCTGCAGATGGCTGGCCTTGTGTCGTTGCGAACATGATATCGAAAATTGCAGGGCCCTTGCAGAAAGACTTGCTGGATGAGCGACGCCTTCTACAGTTTGTAGTTGAGTGGTGTGAAACTCCCTCCCGCAGACAAGCTGGAGTGGCTTTTGCGGACGCGTGCCTCTTGTACGACGGATCTCCAGACGAGATATGTACTTTCGTGGACCCCAGTCCGTCGAACAATATTTACATCCGCATTCCACATGCTCTCAGAGATCCTGTTCTTAGAGTTGCCCAGGAGCGCTTCGAACTTTTCGTTCGCCAGACCTTCTGGTGCAACGAAGACTTCTTTGGCTGCTGTCTCGCAGCACAAGCACTGGCGAAAAGGGGTGAGAATGTGGACCGCTGTTTCATCGGCGAGAGTGCAGGAGGCACGGGCCAGAGCTTGTACAGCAGCCATCTCGCTGCAGTCTATAAGCACAACCATGCCTTCATCGACCCTAATCTGTGGCACAATGAAGACGAGCTTCGCAAGCAGATCGAGTCCTTTGCCACGTCCTTTATTATCACGGCACAAGAAAAGCCGGAGTCGAACAAGACGTTCCGCGAAGACCTGTACAAGAAGATGATAAGTGCCGACGACTTGGCTGGTCGCAAACCCTATGGCTACGTGACTCGCATGCTGCGAATTACCGGCTGGAAGCGGATCGAAACGAATGCCGTCATGACGTTCAAAGGAGTGGCAGAATCCAATTTCAATTCTGTCCTGCGGCGTAGCTTGGTGTGGAACCCACAGTCTGTCTTCGTGGACAAAGAGTTTCTCGACAAGAGTTACCCAGATGCTGCACCAGACGGTATATTTCCCAAAGACCCGTGTCTCCGCGAGTTTCTAGAGTCCGGGCCTGCCATTGCTGCCTCACTTCATCAGCAGCTTGGTTTTGAAAGGCGGCACAGCCGTGATGTGTGCCGCAAAATGATCGAGGCTTATGCTGCTTCTGGGTGCACCGAGCGTAAGATGAGGAATGCCTGTGGTCTTCTTCCACAGACTGAAAAAGCTGCGCCAGCAGAACTCAAGCAGGCCGCCGCATCCGTTGCCCCACCTGAAGGGACGGAAAAGTCGACCCCAAGTTCCGCTGATGATGTACTTCGAGGCTACCTGGACAAGCTAGGAAGTTTCATGCTCAGTGACGCAGGCCGACAGACTAAGATCACATCGCTGTGGTGGAAAAGGTTTGCGCCAGCCGCTTAGCCTTACAATACGCCTTTTTGTCTAGCTGATTACATATACATATATGTATATACACACACACAGTAAGCTAGTATAGCTGTATAGCTCAGTGCATAAATCGCCACTGCCTTGGATCCACGCATGTAATTTTGTCTTGGTCCTTCCAAGCAGCTCAGGCCAAGATAGGCATTCGAGATGCTCAAACATCAGAAGTGTGGGCCGTGCTGTTGGAGCGGAAGTACCTCATGCCACTGGGTGAGACGAGGGAGAAGCAAATCCATTACTTTCCCAAGCTCTTTTGCAAGCAAGATCTCTCCTGCCTGGGCTCGCTGAGTGTGCCCGAGTCACGAACGATCCTTACGGAGTCTCTGCAAGCAAATCGGTTTTGGACGGCCCTGTGTGCATGCCCAATGAGAGACAGCAATGCACAGATTCTTCAGCAGTTCTATCAGGACGTGATCTCACGCCTTTCAAGCAAGAGAGGAAAAAAGAGTGACCACGAGAAGGCTGCGATTTCCGTTTGGCAGGACAAGCTGGACAAGCTGCGAGACCGAGAGGACGAGGCAGCAGCATTGATGGAACATCTGCAGAAACACGACCCGTCCAGACCGGCCAAACGCCATCGCAAGAAAGTTTCTAGCCCATCGAAGCCAACGGGATCCTCCGTGCCAGCCCCCTCGCAAGAGGATGCCAACGTTTTGGGCAACCCTTTCAACAGCATGCCGGTTGTGACCCTACAAGTAACATACGACCAAAAGCTCGACGATTTGATCAGAACCCGCCGCTATGCCAACGGTTTTTCCTGTCAGAAGCTTGCACGTGTCTGGCAGACCCATGTCGCTGCAGACACAGTGGACTTGGACATAACGAACTGTTGTTTCGTTCTACTGCTTCAGATGCTGGACAAGCTCCAGCCACAACACTCACATTGGGCTGGAGTGCGTGAAACCTTGCGCGAATGTGCCGAGGACCGAGAATTAGCGATCCGCCACAAGTTGAAAACTGTGCCTGAGACCGGCAAGCTTTTGCTGATCAAGATTTTCAACGGCGGCTTGCCCCCTGAGGAGTTCTCCAGGAACGAGTTCGTTCTCAAGGTGCAAAAGGCATCCACATTCTGCAGGTGGCTCGCTGCTTCGTTGCTGCCGGAAGTGTTTCAGCACGCCTCTGCCAATCGACCTCACCCAGACTCGTCTTGCCTTTTTTATCTATGGAGCGCTGTCGAGGACATGTTGCTGGATCCCTGGCTGGAGCATCTTCTGACGCTCCAGCCAAGTCACACTAGCTTGCACTTTGATGGAGTCCGTGTCAGCAGATCCGTGACAGGACCAGATCTGACAGAGTTCTGCCGAGGCTGCAATGCTGCCATCGAAAAGCAGACTGGCTTCCGCGTGGACATCAGAGCGAAAACGCACAAACACTTCATGCAGGTTCTACTCGATACTGGGGCTGTTCTGGATCACAGTGTCGATGTGCCGGACGAGCTTCTTACGGATGGTAATTGCATTCCGCTAGCCTTGTATCATTTGGGGTATGCAGACGAGGCCGTGGCTTTCGTGAATGCAGCTGATGCCGAGCATGCCCACTATTTCAATCGCAGGAACCATCGCACCTATGGACAGCTGCAGGAGGCCCTGCAGATCTCAATCGAGCCAATTGAAATTTCAAGCAATTTGTCGAGCGTTTCATTGTGTGGCAAATACTTGCTACACTGCATCAGCGATGATCGACCTCACTGCATCGCTCTGGTTGCAGATGGAACTGACCTCTGGAAAGTTAGTGACGGAAAAAAGCGAATCTCGGTCGAGAGGGAACAGGTCTTGACGGCATGGACGACCTCCGTCGACCGCCTGTACCTGGTTTTGTTTCAGGTCGGCGGCCCAAAGATCGAGGAGGTGCCGTTGCAGCCAAACTTCAAGCAGAGACGTCGCTTATTGGAGCTTCAAGCAGCAGCAGGCTCTGAACCCAGCAGAGCCCGGCCTATTGTGTGTTGCGGAAGCGAAACAGACTCGGAGCTGTTCGCAGAGGAAGACGAGTCTATGTGCCGAGCAGGTGACCGTATCCTGGAGTTGCTGAGGCAGGAAGTGGAGGCCGTGCTCGCCAAGCGCATCAAGCCTGTTCCGATTGAGGATAGCGCGATGCTGGTTTGCCCCCTTTGCCCTTTCCGAGGATTTGGCAGCAGCAACCCCAACAGACTTTATAAGCATGTCCGAAATTACCACGACGGGCCGAGGCAATTCTGTCCCAGTGGCACCAAACAGATGAAGCTGTTGATCAGCATCTATGACAATGACCGCCTACTTGGCCGCGAAGAGCGGCCCGACTTGCTGCAGCGTTCAGCAACCCTCATTCGCCAGACTGTTTTACCTGCGCTGGAACGTTCGATCAACCAGATCGACCGCTACATCAGATTGGTTTTGACAGGCTCCGGGCCAGAGTATTGGAACTTGACTGCCGTGCTGCAGGCGCCGCTGCGTAGGGCGCGCAACATCTACTACAATGTCGACTTTGCGCAGATGCTCTTCCAGCAGACGTTGGTCCAGAATGCTAAGGCTCGGGTCTTGGGGCTCAGTTCTCTGCCCTGCACTCATATAGTATAGACCCCTGGCAGGTCCACGCCATCATGGCAGCCTTGCACACGCGTGTTCACGGAGATGCAGCCAGTCTTCTGCCAAGCCATGCCAAGGACTGGTGGCCCGTACTGGAGGATATCTTCACTTCCTCTGCAGTGGTCGACATGGAAGCAAATTTAGTTCGGGAGGCCATTGGACACAAAGAATGCTTGTGCCTCAGCATCGACGCCACGCTCCGCTGCTGCCTGTCTGTGCTGGGTCAGCCGAAACGGCGCCGCTCCAGCCGGGAGGCAGTGCAGGCTGCGTTTGACGAGGAAAGCATGCTGCGCAGAGCGCCCAGATGCAAATAGCAGTATGTTGAGTCAACCCTTCCAAGGCTCCAGGCTCCCCTGATTCCATCTGTGAACTCGTTCATTCAAGCAAAGGTTTTCACTGTGCGCGGTCGCACCAACGCCACGCTCATCATGACGGCTTGCCAGTCTGACGATGCTCGGAGTTGCGCCCAGGTGCTTAGCGAAGGGCTTCCTGCAGAGGGCTTGCGGCAGGTCCAGTATGTGAGTGTCGACAACCCCTCTCGGCACTACTTACTCACACTGAAGACCATATGCCCCAATCTCCAACTCATGGCACTTGATCCTGTCCATCTTGCAATGACGTGCGAATATGCCTCGTCAAGAAGGCGGACCGGTTTCACGAGAGTCCTCAGACGGTTGCTGTGCAAGTTCACTTCCGTGGATTCGACATTAGACGCAGGTGCATGGGGTAAATTTTTTGATGGCCGCAACAGTCCGCCACTGACAGCAGCGGAAATCAAATTTCGCAATCAGATCGAGGACCGCTCCATGCGGCAGACAGAGGCTGTCAGGCTTTTAGAGGGCCTCGACCCGACCACTCCTTTCTATTCCCGCACCGAATGGGTGCAGATGCTGGCTGCAGTCGTTTCTGTGCACAGGCAAGAGGCCGACAGACTAGCCCCGGGCCCCAACCGCCGCATCTGGCAGCTGTTGCACACTGCGTCTGCCGCAGACAGGAGTGAGTGGTACTTAAACAACATCAGGCTGCGTCATTCTTTCCCAAGAACTTATTTAAACCTCTTGCCGGCTGGAACCACCAGCAACGAGTCCTTGCATCATGAAATCAACTCATGGTTTCGGGAGACTCAGAAGATCCACCAGAGCAGCCTCAAGATGAAGCTCAGGATCTTACGTCTCGGCAAGCTAATTTCACACAATGCAGCCATGTACCATCAAACGAGCCGACAGCTCAGTCAGGCCATTGTGCTGGCTCGTGCGAGCAGCCACTGTCTGTGGAACGCTGGGCAGTGGAAAGAATGGTGCAGCCTCTTGGAAGACGACGGCAAACTGCAAAAAGCAGAGTTGCCAGTCGAAAAAGCGCGCAGCTCAGAAAGAGCTGCTGTGCGTGTCCGTGCAAAGCACGGCACAGGATCTCGTCTGCCTAAGGCACGGGTCCGAAGACGAACTCCACACACTTTAAAACGAAAGGATGGCCTGCGCCGAGGTGGAGTGCACGTCGAAGTGATGTGCAGTGGGTGAAGTGGCCCAACGTTTTCTTCTGCATCGAGGATGATCAGATAGAAAAGCCACTCAGCTTGAGGTTGTTTCTGATTCTACACTGTCTCCGCTTTACCTGGCGAGATGAGCATGCGTATGCCAAGCCGAAGCAGACAGACAGTTTTTCAGAAACATGGACTGCATGGTCAGGCGCCGTCGTGTCCTTGCATGAGAGCTGGCTTCGAGACGAGCTGCTGAGTCCTGAGTTGACCATGTGATCTACCGTTGGGGCCTGCTTCAGATTGTCTTACGTGTGCGCAAAGTCATCTGGACACTTGCTGTTTTTGTCCAATGCTTCCTTGAGGTCGAAGCATCATGCAAGCCACGGTGCAGTCCGCTGTGTTGTTTGATGGGGTTCTGGGGGTTTGCAGCTCACCTCCACAATCATGACAGGGTGTATCGGTCAACCTATTGTTGTGATTGTTTCCTTATTGTGTGCTAACACTTTCTTCATCTTGTGGTACCATCCTTTCCTGTGCTCGTCTCCACCTTCGGAAAGAGCGACACTGGGAAAATTGAAGGCACCCATTTGGACCATGTTCAGTTGTTCCAGAGGCCAGCCACATCCTGTGAGACCAGTGAAAAGGGCAAAACGACCTCCAAGTCAAGGAAGGCCCAAGCGACTCAAGTAGGATCGGCTTCGTCCTACTGCACCACCAATTTCCTGTCAGAGAGTCAGGTCGTTGGTTCGTCCAGGACTCGTGTCCATGGCGACACGGGTCCTCGGCGCCGTGATGAAAAATCTTGTTATCACGCACGAAGTTATTGTCACCTTGGCCAGCAACACGAGAACATCTATATTGGCCTGGGTCGTGAACGGACAGCGAAGCATTCTCAATTCGGAAGATCGCACATGAGCTATGATAGGTATCATGTACAGACAACACTTACGACTCCGGTTCCCAGGTCGTATGGTAGCATTACTGTATAAGCTCCGCGTAACCGCAACGGCTGTGGCTCTAGAATGTGAGCTAAGACAAGAATCAGTCGTGCACGTTCCAGCACGACAAAAGAAGCGCGTCTCGCCTTGCTTGCTGGGAGAGAGCTTTGGGTATCATCGCGTGATACTGTATACCGCATTGCTGAACCACAACAACATCACTATTATTTATCATCAAGATTAAGGCGAGGTCAGCAATGTACCGAGACCAGATCCTCACGCATGGGTAGATGGTGCGTCAGTTGGCGTCCTGCTTGATGATACGATTGAAGCTCGTGAGTGTAGCTTGTCTTGGGCATGCCGGAACATATGTGACGCTGGACGTGGGTCGCATCCTGCACAAAGGGGTCAACCAACACGAAATCAAGACCCGCGCTGCAGCAAGTGCATGTGCAACATGATGTTCGGCTTTCAGCCTGTCGGTACTTTCAATTAGCATAGGGTGTCGCAGTGCTGTTGCGAGTATT